TCTACTAGATCCTGTCATACTAGTAAGACTCATAGGATATATATATATATATATATAAGTGGGTTTTATTCAACTCCTTAAAAACTTAATGCACAGATATAAGTTAAACTGCAGAAAAGTAGGGGTTATGCACCGGGGCTTGCCTGGGTAAGATATATATATTAAAAAGTTAGTATCTGCATCTTCAGATCAGCCACTATCAACTGAATAGAAAACCCCTTGCATCATCTCCTGGAGAGAATACCATTACACCATCTTCGGATTCCCAATCATCCTTTAATTGATCTGTTGATCCATCATCGTACCTATACGATATGCAATGTAAAGCCATAATTAATTGACTGCAACCGTGACTCGAAAAATATGATTTACGCCACTCAAGTTAACGAGCTAGTTCTAACGACGACCGTACTTAGGCTACATATCCATGTTGTCGAAGAAAGACGTTATTTTCCAACAATCATTTTAGTTATATAAACACAAGTTGTTTATTTATCTCATTCTATCAATTTAATCTTTATTCTCAATAGGACATCATTATATATATCTAGCAAACTAATTATTCTAGAGCTATAACAATTACAATGAGTACCTAATACTGCTAGGAGCCTACTATAAAAATTTTAAATCCAATATTATTACCAATTTATCACAACAATTCCTATAAATTTATATTTTTACAATATTAAGTATCCCAAATTAATTATATAGCTCCTAAGAATATTATCCAACTATGTGAACAAATTATACTAGCAGGTAGATCATGATTTTAGGAGCCTAACAAAATTGGTTTCACTATTTTTGAACACCCACACAATTTTATCTTGATTTTATAAGTTTGTTTCCGAAACTAATTAACACTTGCTTTATAAAACTAAATGACCAGCGGGAACCTATTCGGCCCAGCGGCCCAAGGCGGAAATCCACTCATACGCGGCCTAGGCGCGACCTTGATCAGTGGCAGACAGATTGGCCCAGCAGGCTCGAGAGGCCCGAGCACGCTTGAGCACAAGCCGGCCCAGCGGCATGAGACGTGGCGTGGCCCAACAAGCCTACTCTAGTAGTGCCAGTGGCCCAGGCGGCAACGCAGGCCGGCCCAGCGGACGCGACACGCGGCCCAACTCAGGAACGGGCGCGAGCAGCCCAGACGGGCGGGTGGCGCGCGCAGCCCAGCAAACCGGAAGTCCTATCCAGAGCGGGTGGGCCACTGATCCACGAGCGGAAACAGGCCGGCACATGAGGGAGGCTCCAGAGCAGAGCATCGGCAGGGCACCGACGGCGTGACCATGGCCGCGCATGGCGGCGAGGCGCCGGTCTGGCTCCACCCCAATAGCGAACGCACGGGCTCGAAAGGTCGAGGCGGAGCTGCTACTAGTCGTGCTAGGGATGGGGTGCTCGAGGCGAACTATACGGACACATCCATGGCGGCATCCAAGGAAGGGCTCAGCAGCGGCGGCGGATTTAAAACAGCACGCCGCGCGTGCGCACCGTTGAACTAATGGCTTCTGATCCACGTCAAAGCTCTCTAGGACCTCCTCAAGGTGCTAGGGATTCAAGAAATTGGAGGGATATACCTTGTGTACGATGAATTTGGACCGAAAGGGATGCGGTCATGGCGGCGGTGCTCTGGTGCTGCTGGCTGCCGCGGTGGCTGTCATGTTGCCTTGTGACTAGGTGTTCGCCAAGGCGGGCGCATGACGGCAGCACACGCCCACGATAGGGGCGTGGCGCGGAACCTAGAGGCGCTTGCGTGTGCGATGGCGGTGACCGGAGTGGCTACGGTGAATGGGACTCTGCTTTCATTGCGGGCTGCGAGGAAGGCACTTTCGGGAGGGGGCGGCGTGGGGGCGGGCGGCCAATAGCGTGAAAGGAGGGAGCGAGGAGGATTGCTGGTGCTCACGCGGAGGGCGGCACGCGCTATGGCACGGCGTGCAGCGCTGGAGGAGACGCAAGCGGCTCGTGGTGGTGGGGGCGTGGCGCGAGGCAAGCGAGAGGAGGGGAGCGGCTCGAGGCGTGCGAGAGGAGGAGCAAGGAGACGCAGCGCCGGCTCGGGCGCGCCTCGCGCGATGTAAGTCTTGGGTAGCGGCGTCGTGGTGGCCATGGTGGGGATTGCGGTGGGAGGAAAAACAATGAGAAGGCGAGGAGGAGGACGGCGAGTGGGGACGACTCCCCACGGCAACCTGAGAAGAAAAAAAGGAGAGAAAGGCAAGGGTGACTCGGCCTAACGTGACCGCAGCGTGGGCTGGCGGGACATGTCGGTTAGTACGGACAAGACCGAGGCCGCGAGAAAAATAGAGGGAGGGGAGCGGGGCGGGACGGCACAACACGGTCGATGGCAGCGAGGCAAGGACAAGGCGCGAGTACACGAAATAGAAAAGGAGAGAACAAGAGTGTTGGCCAACTTTCATTAATGTAGGAGAGCGTGGCAGCAGCAAAGGCGACATATGTTTCACAGCGCTCACACCAAGACAAACAATGGCGTCCTGCGCGCGCGGCACGTACCGCGGCAAGCGATGGCGGCATGACTCTTTCTCAATAACGCGCGCCGGGGATACGTGACGTGAGGGAACACTATTGCGCAGAGCGATGTGGGCACCGTGTGGCTCTCTTGGGCACTTTGCCTTGTAGCGTGAGATGACGCTTGACAGCGGAGGTGACAAACGATACGTTGCCGACAACTCTAAAAGAGCTAAATCCTATTGAGTTCCACCAATAAACATCGCGCGATAGCTCATACTTATACCAAGCCATGGAACAAAATATTAAAGTGTTATGTAATCCTTTTGTGCAAAACAATTCTCTACAAACAACGCTTTAAAATGTACGTTCCGATTTTTACCGTTGACACGAAAAGCTGGTTTTTAAATTTTTAAAATCCGAAAAAATTATTTTGAAAATTTTCTTAGACCTAAATCGCGGTGCTAAACAAGCTCGTAACAGCAGAGGTGTTACACATATCTCACGTGCCTAGTAGATATAAACCTCAGGCCTCGTGTGGATCCATGGAATTGAATTCATTCTAATAAATTCTAATTTATGTATATATTAATCAAGCTACTATGGTTATATGTGAAATGTATTTGTATACTATTGTTAGCCATATAAAAGAGATGTGCATATGTTGTATTTCTACTATAGGGGAACGAGCTAAAGAGCGTACTACAAGTTGAAGAATAGAAACATAGCATAGTTATATATAGAATTAATTTTCATCTTACACCCTATGAATTTGAGATAGAGTTACATGTGAACTTTTGAAAGTTGTAGAATCTCAAATTCCAAACCAAATAGCCTAACCCATTAAATAGATTCTAATTCCTCTAAAATAAAGTGATCCAAACGGCCCCTTATATATTTTATGCAATCCGTGTCAAATATTGGAACAAAATTGTAAGATCCCTTTGCAAATAGGTTCCTGGCGCCCTAGTTTTGGAATATATCTAAGGAAGAATAATGCATTCTCTCTCTCTCCCTCCATCTTTAGCAAATATTTTTCCTCTAACATTTCCATGTGCGGTTTTTTGTTAACCATTTAAGCACATCGCTCTCAAATATTTACTTTTCTTATATTCGCAAAGATTTGGCGACCCACCATATTTCTCAAGAAATGTTTCGTAGAGATCTTATTTCGTATAGTACAATTGTCAAAGGTATTCATTTTTCCCTCAAGTTCGTACGTCTTGCACTTGACACACAATCACGAATACGTGAGTATTAATATTTTTTTAAATGCTTTTCAGATTTTGTAAGCTGAGATTATGCATCTATCTAGCATTCACGTTGATTATTACTCTCCATTTTTGTTTTCAGACATATTAACATTTATTAGGGCATGTTTGGCTTTCTATTGCAGGTTGCCACACTAGAGCTTCAGTCGTGCCATAAGTGCGGCACATGAAAATAGTGCCACACTTTAGTGGAGCTACAACATAAAAAAATGAACTACCGGCGCCTAAGCAGGTGGCACACTACAACTTACATCATGAATCAAACGTTAGTTAAAGTTACGCGAGATGAGGCATGATGACTTGTGGCAACCTTTGTTAACGAACCAAACACACCTTTAAATGTGACAAATTTCGTATGTTTAGGAGTAATAAAAACGATTAAACTTTTTCGAGTGCACTCTCATGTGCCTACTGGACTACTGGTGCAATGCATTTGCGTCACCTTGTAATATTTTCTCTGTCCACAAATTAATGCAATTCAGGCTATTCGAGGAGTTAAACAGTTCGAACTTTGACTAAATTTATAATTAAGTGGTATGAAATAAATATCATTAGATCAGTTATAGAATCTATTTTCATAGAGACATAAATGCTAATACTACTTTATTATAAACTTAGTCAAAGTTGAGTTAGTTTGACCAAAGACGGATCCCATAATTGTATTCTTTTATAGAGCGGAGGAAGTAATTAGGATTTACAATTAGGAAAAAGATTGATTTCACTATGGGGCCTTGTTTAAATTGCAAGTTTTTTTCTCTCTCTCCATCACATCAAATCTTTGGACACATGCATGGAGTATTAAATGTAGATAAAAAAATAACTAATTTACGGTTTGATTGTAAATTACTGAGGCGAATCTTTTGGCCATGATCGGCAATAATTGTCAAATACAAACGAAAGTCTTTATAGTACCAAATCTTTGATTCCTAACCCCAATCTAAACAAGACCTGGTTAAAAACTTTCAAGGTTGTATCAGGATAAGTACACCAAAATGAATAAATTTGTCGCGGAAGCCGGACTGCTCGTGAGACGCACACAATTCGTGCGGTCCAAACTCACGCGAGAAACCCATCCCCAAAACTCCCACGCGCACCCAGAATACTCACCCTTTCCGCATCGCACTCTCACTGCTTCCGGGCCCACGACACCCCACATCTCCCAGACGCACACGTCATCGTCGGCTCCGTCCCGAGTCCCACCCTTACCCACCACACAAACCGCCTGCGGCCTCGTAGCATTTCTCACAAACTCGACCAGGGGCCAGTCGTCAGATGGCCTCCACGTGGCACGCTCCGGCATCCCCGCCCTCCACGCCCCGCTGCCCACGGTCACGGGAACTGCCAGCGCTGACCGTCCGATCCTGCCCTTCGCCGCCAGAGGACGGCCCAGATCCTGCCCGGCCCGGCGCGGGCAGCCCACGCGCTGCTATTAAAGGCACCCCGTTCCGCTCCTCACCTCACCTCCTCGCCCCCAACGCATTGCCGAACGTGTCGCGCTCGCGCCCGCCCGAGCCCGATAAGCCCGCGAAGCCCAGGCCCAGCCAGACCCACCCGCGAAGCGATGCGACGGAGGAGATCGTGAGATCGCGGGCCGCCGCCACCCCGCTGTCGCCGGCGATGACCTCCGCCGTCCTCGCCGGCCGGAATGAGGTCCACCACGCGCACCCGCACCACCGCCACTGGGGCGGCGCCCGCGTCCCCCTCATGCCCAATCCGTCCTCCAACCCTAACCCTAGGCGCCACCACCCCGCGGGGGGCCCAAACCCTATCCCCAGCGGCTCGCCGCCAGCTCGCCGCAGGCCGTCCCGGCGGTCGCCGCGGCCGAGCCCTTGCCGTCGTCTTCGGGGCACGTGAAGTTCAGGCCGTCGGAAGTGACCCCCGCCGAGGCCAGGCTTCTCCGCGCGCGGCTCACCGGCGAGCTCGGCCGCGTCCGCGCTTTCCTCTCCCGCATCGACTCGTTGCAGGACGGGCAGCGCCGGCGCCGGCGCCCGGAGCCCCCCGCGCGCCGCTCGTCCCCGTTCCCGCCGCCGGTGCTGGTGGAGGCGATGCGGAAGCGGTGCGCGGACATCCTGATGCGGCTGCGGAGATCGAAGAAAAGCGTGTGGTTCAACTCCCCCGTCGACGTGGAGGGCCTCAAGCTCCACGACTACCGCGCCATCATACGGAGCCCCATGGATCTCGGCACCGTCAAGCAGAACCTCACCGCTGGCCGGTTCCCCTCGCACGAGGCGTTCGCCGGCGACGTCCGGCTCACCTTCAACAACGCGCTGCGGTACAACCCGCCCGACCACCACGTGCACAGGTACGCCGGCAACCTCCTCGCCTCGTTCGAGGGGATGTACAAGGAGGCCGTCTCGTGGTTCGAGCAGCAGCGCCAGCAACTCGAGCCACCAATGCAGCTCGATCTGCCGCCGCCTCCACCACCACCACCACAGCTGCCAGTTTCTGTGCCAGTGCAAGCGCCCCTGAGGATGGGGGGTGGGAGGAAGCCCAAGCCCAAGGCGAGGGAGCCAAACAAGAGGGAGATGGATGAGGAGGAGAAGCAGAAGCTGAGGGTGGAGATTGAGAACCTGCCCGAGGAGAAGATGCTGAATGTGCTGCAGATTGTGCAGAAGAGGAACAGTGATCCAGCATTGACGGGGGAGGAGGTGGAGCTTGATTTTGATGACCTGGATGTCGAGACCATGTGGGAGCTTGATCGATTTGTGGTCAATTGGAGGAAGGCGCTAAAGAAGAACCAGCGGAATTCTATGATGAATGGTGATGCTGCTGCCATGAATGGACACGCCATCGATGTGACAATTGTTCCGGATGATGATGACATGGTCGAGGTTGCTGTCAATCCGTCTGTGGTGGTTGAAATTGGAGAGTCCGTATGTCATTCTGAAGCAACCTTAGCTGTTCTATTTTGTAGTTTCCGTGAACCTGTTATGTTTGGACTCTGTTCTAATGTTGATCCTGTTTTTGTTGCCTATTTTAGGAGACTGACATTCCAAAGAAGAGGGAAATGGAGGCGGAGGACGAGTATGTGGATATCGGTGATGAGATGCCAACGGTGAATTACCAGTCGGTGGAGATTGAGCGGGATTCCCCAGCAGCTAGCAGCTCAAGCGGATCAGGAAGTGGCTCATCTTCATCCAGTGGTACGGTGGAGCAAATGAGTATTTGTCACCACAAATGCTGAGTTATCGATTGAGTAGCTCTTTAATTCATTATTAAAATTCCTTGCAGATTCTGACTCGGACTCTGAATCTGATGGGGATGATGCAAGCGCCCCGCACTAGGTGGTTGCTCTTTTATCTGACTGTAGGATTAACGATGAGTAGGTGACTGAGGTTCCTTTTGGTGAGGCATTTTGAAGAATGGTATAGCAAATTGGAGGGGGCTCTTGTTCATGCAAGTCGTTGTCAGGTGTGTTCGTTTGTGTATGTGGGTGCAGCTTAGGTTGTCGGTACTTGGTAGTGAATAGGTAGATGGTTGGGTAGATTGGGAGACTACTGTAAAGAAGGGAATGTAATCTGGAATGGAATGAAGAGGAAAAGTAGCAATGCCTTGGCATTTCATGATGTCTGTTGCTTTCTTTGTATATGTTTCTTACTGCACTAGCCGATCTATTGTGCACATATGTTTTATTAATGTTCATCTGACATTACAAACTACATCTGAAAGAGTTCGCTGCAGTGCCTTAATTTGGTTCTAAAACACTGAAACGTACCATTGTACATTGATCCTGGTGCAAATTGCTGTCATGCTAATGTTTTTTGCCTGATTGCAGAAATATGTATATGTTTTGCTCTGATTATTATCTTATAATGTTACTAAATATTGTAATCCTGATCGTCAACATTAGCATAGCATACAGTTCTGCTTGAAGCATTTCCTTTATATATTTGCTCAAACCCGAACTTTAATCTGCAACGTCTTTGCTGCGACATCTCAGAATGATCTCACCTTTCTAATCTGAACATCCAGGTTGAGACGGGTATTTCTGACATAAGTTGACTGTTAGAACACATTCTGTGCAGGAACTAGAAGCGCCAGATGTCCTCTATTGCCTTGGCATTTCAAGATGTCTGTTACTGCAGTTGCCGATCTATTGTGCACATACGTTTTATTAATATTCATTTGACATGACAAACTAAATCAGGAAGAGAGTGCTGGAGTGCCTTAATTTGGTGCCAAAACACTGAAACAGACCATGGTACATTATCCTGGTGCAAGTTGATAGCATACTGTAGTTCTGCTGGAAGTGTTTCCTTTATGCTTCCTTATCAGAAGAGTGTCAATTCTCAGCTCACGACAAGTCAAATATTTTTAACTTTGACAAAATATACTCTTCTAGTCAAATATTTTGAACTTTGACAAAATATACATGCGAGAATATTAATATTTATGAACAACTAAATCATAAAATACAATTTATAGTAAACTTTTTTGAAGATACAAATGTTCTTATGTTTTATAAACCTAATCAAGTTTTAGAAAGTTTGATCTGTACGACACTATTTTGGCTATTTTGGGATGAAGGGAGTACATCTTTGTTCAAATCTTTCCTTTAATCTGCAACATCTTTGTTGCGACGTCTCAGAATCATCTAACCTTTTTAATCTGGAACGTCCACGCTGAGACAGTTATTTGTGACAGTTTATTTATACTAATTGTTAGGAGACAGTTATTTCTGTATTCAAGCAGTAACTAGAAGCGTCAGATGTACTCTATTGCCTGCAGGCACAGCAAACTGCATGTACGCTTTGGTATCTGAGATTTTTGGTAGATCTGATCGCCACCAGTGCCGCTTTGGTATCTCTGTTCGTTTTACGTAACCAATTTAGTTTTGATCGCTAAAGTTCGAGATGTCATTTCCCTTGCTTTTTCTGTCCTCTATGGAAGCAGTGTCGTTTCGGTATTAGCTTGCCCCATTGCCAGTTTTGCCACAGTTGCTACCTGCTAGTCTGTTCGGCAAATTCTAGGGGACACAGACGATGGCTGCTTCTCTGTTCGGCAAGTGCCAGGGGTCAGCCGCTTCTATCGGAAAACTTGGGGTCAGCCGCTTCTAACGGAAAACTTAAGTATGGCAACACGAAACGGGCCATCATAAGGGAAATCTCTATCACTGCAGCAACGCAACGGTCACAATATTTCAACTGACAAAAAAGATACCAACATTCCAGTACCGGTACCACAACACAAAACAAAACAACTCAAAATTTCACTGGATCATCAGATCATCCTTTCTCTTGCCGCATCCTCACAGAATCCCCCCTTATTCATCTTCAGTCATCACCAGAAGTGTCCTCGCCGAATGCCCCTTCATCTTCAGTCATCACCAAAAGTGGTCTTCTTTCCTGTGCAAATAAGAGGATGTGTATGCAGTGAGCTCAAAGCAGCTTTAGCAGTTAGAAAATTGTAAGTCATGGCCAATAGGTATGGCAGCGCAGCCCAATGTTGCTCAAACCAAAATGCAGTTATCTTTACAAGTACAGGATGAATCCTACCTGCACTAGGAGTGCCAGCACTCTGCCTGTTACCAAAGCCACGGCCGCCGCCACCACGTCCACGGCCACCATCCCTACCACCACGTCGTCCGCCAAATCTGCCGCCACCATCCCTGCCCCCAGATCGGTCACCAAATCTGCCACCGCCACCACGCCGGCCACCGGAACCGAATCTGCCACCAGAACGGTCACCAAATCTGCCACCACCACGCTGGCCATCGCCTTTTGGCTTGGCTTCATCAACATAAAGCTCATAGCCACCACCAATGTCAGAGCCACTGAGCTCAATGGCTTTGGACACTGAATCCTGATCCTTAAAGTCCATGTAAGCCATTCTGCAGAGTTAAGAAGATCAACACACTTGTCACTAGTAATTAAGCCTAAATTTCACAGATGGATAGTTACTGGGATGCTGGTGTTTTTTTGGTAGTGAAACCCACCCTTTGATTGCACCAGACTCATAATCAGTCGGGATAGAGACCCTTGTTATATCACCACATTCAGCAAAATGTTGTTGGAGAGCGCTTCGGATCTGGATTCAGTGTCAAACATTGGCACGAAATTTCCTGAGATAAAAATAGCTAAACAAAAAAGAAATTACCTCATCCTCTGCAAGATTTTTATCGAAACCCCGGATAAATATCGAGTTGCTGCTACCCCGAACTGGCTTCTGGAAAGATCCATCATTGCTGTTACAGTTTACCCATCCAATACACAGTTAATAACAATGGTAAGGCATCAGAAAGTGCACCGTAATGCTCTTAAGAGACATTAAGATCATCTTACCCACTGCGAGGAGTTTGTGTATTTCTTCCCTTAGCGAAGTCAAGTCTTACTTCACGACCCTGCAACTCTTTTGATTGCTTCTCTTTAAATGCCTGCTAGAAAACAATCCATTAGATATCTTGTTTAATTGCATATTTGCAACTATATCACTCAGAAGACAATTTTAAGCAGAAAAAAAATTGCATAACAGCTTCAGCTTCAAAGATAATCTCAAAATGACAAGATACAAGAAATATATAGTAACATTACCTTTTCAGCAGCCTCAGCTGAAACAAATTCAACATAGCAAAATCCTTTACGATTGCCATCCTCATGTGTGGGAAAGCGAACATCAACAACCTCACCAGCATCCATAAAAAATTCTTTCCTGCAAACATTAGTATTAGAACACCTGCTGCAAAAAGGTTCAATATAATGTGTGACCTGAAGCCAAACTTACACATCGTCAAATTCAGCTCTCAGGGGACGTTTGCCATAAAAAGTGTCTTCACCTCCTCCGTTGCTTCGTTTTGGGAGCCCATAGGTGTTTTAGGCTGCCATAGTATCAAATTATAAATGTTGCATCTATGTAACTTCATTAAAAGAACAAAAGCTCAAAGTAACAGATTCATACTTCTTTGGTAGCAGTTTGCTTTTCAGAGGCATGCATAGGAGCTTCCTGTGTTGTTTCAATTCAAACAAAAATGTCATAAATGCAAATTCAAAAAGATATAGTGAAACATGTGTCCATTTAAATAATGAGTCATACTTCAATTTGTGTAGTAACAAGTGAGAAAATACCTTCTTTGGAGTATTAGCAGGCTCTTCACTGTCTTCATCACTATCATCTTCAGAAGATTCATCCTCAGATCCACTGCTTGCTGATGCTTTTGGTGCCTGGTAAAGCATCTAGTTAATACTGGTTAACATTAATAACATGTTGCCTACATCGAAGAATTTGTGAAGTACCTTCTTTTGTTCAACTTTTGTACGCTCATCATCAGAACTTTCCTCACTACTGCCATCCTCATCCTCACTGCTGCTTCCATTCTTTGCAGCTGAAGGTGCTTCCTATTAACAGAAGAAAAACAATGTGAACAATGGAACAACAGGAAAAGAATAATGAAAATATGCAAAGAAAAATAAGCAAATTGAGTATTTGCAGCACCTTCTGCTTCTTTTGGGGAGGTTTCTCGTCCTCATCAGTGTCAGAGTCATCACTTGATTCATCTTTCATTTTTGAAGCAGCTCTCTTGGCAGGCTGAGTTTTACTTGCATCCTAATGAGTTTAGAAATAAGGTGATCAAAATGGCATAATGCGTAACATGCAAATGTTTACAGCAAAAATGTTTTACACATACCTCAACCTCAGAATCACTCTCTGACTCACTTCCACTGGAATCTTCCTTTTGGTAGCCACTACAGAAGCCTTAGACTTAGGAGGCACTTCCTGAAAATAATCATGTTACAACTCAAATAATGCATAACCATGGAAATTATTGGCACAAACTATGGTGAAGGACAAGAACAGGATATACAACGGTTAACGAAATACATGTGAATAAATAAACAAACCCAATGCACACACCTCATCTGAGTCATCATCAGAGTCACTCTCAGACGGATCCTCCTTTTCTTTTGTGCATCAATCACAGATGGTTTCTTTAGAGGGCAGCAGGTTTCTGAAAAAATGCACACAGAAGAGAAACGATACCATCAGCTGGCTAAGCTAAATAAGCATCTCAGGGCACACAACATAATACAAGTCGGCAATAATATGATGACAAATCAGTAAATACATATCTACATGTTAGGTTAGAGATGGCATTGCATCAGAAAACCTAATGAAAATGCAATCATTAATCTTAAGGTAAAATGGAATTAAAGCCAAATAAGCATGAATGTTCCACTCACAACATCATCATCTGACTCATCGTCAGAACTGTCCTCATCGCTGCTGCTTTCTTGCTTGCCTTTCTTCAAACCATTTTTGGCAACAGCGCCCAAGGGTTTAGCAGCAGCCTTCTTTGCAGGTTCCTGAATCAAAAGAACACGAGTTGGTAGCTCAACATCTGAAAAGTACATTCAAATAATCAATTCGTTTGCTGGCAATTTATCCTAGATTAGTAACAACTAAACATTAATCTGGGCTGCCATGGTGGTAAAATGGAATTAACTGTGCACAAGACATAAGACAAACAGGAAACTTCAACTCACATCATCGTCGTCGTCATCATCCAACTCATCTTCACTGCCCTCATCACTGCTGCTCTCTTTCTTGCCTGTCTTCGAACCATTTTTCGCAACAGCAGGCTTAGCAGCAGGCTTCTTTGCAGGTTCCTTAATGAAAAGATGAATTAGCATCTAAACATCCTCTGAAAAACCACATTCAATGACTCAATTTGCTGGCTGCTGATTCTTTCAGCTCCGAAACCTGCAATCAATGCCATACCTCATCAGATTCAGAGGTCGCGTCGCTGCTGTCATCGTCACTGGATTCTTGTTTAGCGATCTTAGCAGCAGGCGCCTTCTTTGGTACCTTAATCTGTGGAAACAGAAGTTAACTATGTTACAGAAGAAGAAACTTCAATTGCTAAAAAAATATCACCTTTACAAGCCATACTCAGACTCAGATTCTGCAAGGGACTAGATCATCTACTGCAGCAGCTATTTCTGTCTACCCTCCCCACCTCAATCAAATCATTAAAAATTCTAAAAATAAAAAATCCCGTACCCGCCATACGTACGAGAGAAACAAGAACAAGCATCACCGCATACCTCCTCTTCGGACTCGGAGTCCTCTTCGGAGCCACTGCTGCTGCTCTCAACCTTCTTGGGGGGCAGCTGCTTCTTTGCCTTCTTGGCGTCCTTCTTGGACGGCACCACGGCCTTCGCCGGTGGCGCCGCCTTCTGCTTCTTCGCGCTCACCGCCTTCTCGATCTCATCCTCCGCATCCCGCTTCTTCCCCTTGGGCACCGGCACCGGCGCCGCGCCCACGGCGGCCGCCTTCTTGCTTGACTTGCCCATCGGAGGAGAGGGAGAGGAGGCGGGGTGGGAGCGGAGAAACCCTAGTGGCTGCTAGGGTTTTAGGGGAGGAGGGGATTCGAGGAGGAGGCGACGGAGGTTGTTTATAGGCCGGGGTGGTCGGGTTCCATGGGCCGTGGTGGGCTTTTATATGAGCCTTATTGTGTCTGTGCACAACGCGGGGTCACGGTCTTGGTGGCAAGAGTAGAGCCCAAACAAAAATGTTAGTTTCAAACAAAAAACATTTCTCCCGCTCCAATATTGTCATTTTGCTAAAAAAAAGAAAGAGTAAAGTGGACTTTGTTTGATATATTATTCTAGTCCAAAAATTAGCAAATCATTCATTTAGGTCTTCACACTTATTTTTCGGTCTCTAAAATTACAAATCAATCGTTTAGGTCCTCAAACTTGTTTCGTTGTGTTATCCCGATGCCTAGACTTACAATCACCCATTAGATCCAGTCTAAACAGGTCTAGCCTCGCGGCCGTATGTGTTGTCTGTGGCATGCTCACATGCGCCCCCATGTTCCTTCCTCCTCTCCCCTGAGCTCCCTCTCTCGTGAGCTCACGGCTTAAGAGCGACATGGCTTGGGAGGCACGGTAGGGGATGGGCGACACAACCGGGTCTTGGCGCGCTCTCGGACAACTAGGGTGCGACCGACCATAGGGGCTCGCCCCCAGGGGGCTTGGCACAATTAGAGGTGTAACCAACTGATAGGTCAAGATGGTAGACTAGAGAGGTGAATAGTCTTTTATAAAAATAAATGCGTCGACTAACCGAAATAAATGTGAAATTAAAACTACTCAATCTAGCCAATGCTAAATTTATCTATCTATGTTCACAAGTAGCTTACACAAGATCATAATTAAGAAACTAAGGTATCAGGCTAGGTAGAGCTCACCTGCATGATTCTAGATCACATAAACCTATGCAACTAATACTCAAACAAACGAGAAATTCCTACACATATTAGTGAGCAAAGCGCACAAAGCCTAAGCACACTAGCACTACCCAACTAGCAAAGCTACACAAGCTAAACTAGATAGCAAAACAAGCCACACAAGCTAAGCAAGGCTACTAAGCTATATAAGCCTATTATAGTATGACAAAGCTATGGTTACACAAAGGCCCTGTTCTCTTCTCTTATAATCTGTACTTTTTAGCTTATTTTTTTAGCCGAAACAGTGTTCGATTTGTTTTTTCAGCGAAGCGAATGGGGCCAAGATTGTGTCTATAAAGAAGAGGTCATAATGAAATATCTGGAACTCCAAAAAGAACTATAATTTTAACAAAATCATGGTTCTGGAGACTCCAATATCTGTTGTGTTTAATAAACATCTAATAACTTTTGAACCAAAGTATTTTTGTAAAACCATAATATTTCTCTAATGCTTAAAAAAATACTTTACGTACAAATAGTGCCTGAGTATGTAAACTAATGTAACTACTTATTATAAACAATACTATTAGTTAATGGATCCTTGACGACGATCCGATCCATCCCTAGGTATGATCACCGGAGAGGCTTTGCTGCAATGGCAGAGGCACTGGTTCGACGACGAGAGCTCACCGGAGATGATCGGCAACGTCGGCAAAAACAGAGGGCGAAGGAAGAAGAACGACGACGGCGTCGGAGCTTTATAGAGCGCTGCCAAGGAAGCAAGGAGAAACCACGGCGACGCCTTTCCCACGCCGGTCTGAAGCCAAAGCCCTTGCTGCCAGCGCTGAAAGCGTCAAGAAGGTCGCCGGCGGTGAGTCGGCTTCATGATTCATTATTCACGATAATTACAAGTTTGCCATTCGCCAAAATTCACAAATTACTCTCAAATTTTCATAACAACTCCAAAATCTCCAAAAATAAAAGTTGTTCAAAATCAAAAGTTCTACAACTTTGGTTTTATAACCATCTCCTAATTCGGTCTAGATTTTGAAATCAACTTTTGAATTTGAATAGGGAAATTTAACGAATTACGCCTTTTTGAATTACTCAAAATTTTTCTAAACAACTTGAAAAACTCCAAAAACAAACTTTGTATAACTTACCAAGCTCTACGCTTTTGCTTTTGGGATCAACCCCAAATTATGCTTAGATTTTGAAATGGGTTTTCAGGGTAGGATTAAAATGTTGAAAAGCGGGGTTTTCTCGAAAAATTCAAAATCCAAACAAACTTTGAACTAGATTCAACCAATACAATTCAACACATACCACATGAATATAAACTTGTTTTAGTGTATGCATCTCAAAGTTTTCACCAAATGCCAAATGCTTTGCAATGCATATGATGACATGTCAGGTTTTAGTATTTTAAACACCCGAGGTGTTACAATCCTTCCCCCTAAAAGAAATCTCGCCCCGAGATTCAAAGCCATTGAGTAAGTAATGGAAAAGGAAATGTGTCAATCCAAAAACATCCAGAACTTTTCCATAAAACAACTGAGGTTCTTTACAAAACACAATTTGAAAACAAGAGCTCACTAACATTATTCTATTCTATATTGACGCTTAGAAACTCGTAAACTTTTCTAACAAGTAATCTTCGATTTCGGGTAGCTTCCTCTTACGAATGTTGATTCCATTGTATCTTGTAGAACTTTATTGTTCTCCTCCGAGTAACACGATCTTTCAGATCCAACACTCGGATAGGATATTCTGAATAAGTCAGATCTGGTTCAAGTTCCACTCCTTCAACTTCAACATTCCGCTCAGGCACTCGGAGACACTTCTTCAACTGAGACACATGGAACACATCATGTACAGCTGATAAATGTTCTGGTAATTTCAAGCGATAGGCCACTTTTCCATATCTCTCCAAAATTTGAAATGGTCCAATATATCGAGGTGCCAACTTGCCTTTAACACCAAAACGGTTAACTCCCTTCATTGGTGATACTTTCAGATATACAAAATCTCCTTTGTTAAACACCAATGGTCTCCGTTGTCTATCCGCATAACTCTTTTGGCGGGACTGAGCTATTTTCAAATTACTCTGTATTTGCCTAACCTTGTCTTCCGTTTCTTTCACAAGGTCAACTCCAAAGAATCTTCTTTCTCCGGGCTCCGACCAACTCAGCGATGTTCTGCACCTACGGCCATAGAGTGCTTCAAATGGAGCCATTCTAATGCTTTCCTGATAACTATTATTATATGAGAACTCAGCCAAAGGTAAGTATTCGTCCCACTTATTGGAATAATTAAGGACACAACACCTTAACATATCTTCAAGCACTTGATTGACTCTTTCAGTCTGTCCATCAGTCTGCGGATGATAAGCTGTACTATACAGGAGCTTGGTATCCAAGGAAGAATGCAATTGTTTCCAAAAACTGGAGACAAACTGTGTACCCCGATCGGACACTATGGTCTTTGGTATTCTATGGAGACTCATGATTCTTGCTAAGTACATTTTGGCATATTGGATCGTAGGATATATTGTCTTGACTGGAAGAAAATGTGTTGACTTAGTGAGTCGATCTACAATAACCCATATTGAGTCAAATCCCTTTGATGTCTTGGGTAGACCAACAATAAAGTCCATACTTATGTCCTCCCACTTCCAAGCTGGAATAGGTAAGGGTTGTAGTTCTCCAGCAGACCTCAAATGTATAGCTTTCACCTTTTGACAAGTATCACACTTTGCTATATATCTACGTAATTTCTATCTTCATTTTGTCCATCAAAACCTTTGTTTTAAGTCATGGTACATCTTGTTGCTTCCAGGATGGATAGATAACCTAGTAGCATGTGCTTCTTCAAGAATTGATTGTCTTAACTCGGGAACTTTTGGTACTACCAAGCGATCCTTGAACCATAGCACACCTTCATTATCTATACTGAAACATTCCGCCTTTCCATTCTGGACTCTTTCCTTGATATGGGCTATACCCTTGTTTTCCTTCTGAGCAGCAATAACTTGATCTCGAATAGTGGCTTCAACAATTATGTTGGTCAAACTACCTTGTTGAATTACTTCTACATTTAGCTTCTCCATTTCTTGACATAAAGTCAAACCCATTGTTCTTACTGTCAGGCAATTACAATAGCTTTTTCGACTGAGAGCATCTGCAACTACATTGGCTTTACCAGGGTGATAATGTACTTCCAAATCGTAATCCTTAATTAGTTCTAACCATCTTCTTTGTCGCATGTTCAACTCTGACTGAGTAAAGATATATTTTAAGCTCTTGTGGTCTGTATACATATGGCATGTATTACCAAGCAGGTAATGCCGCCAAATCTTTAGAGCATGAACCATAACTGCTAACTCCAAATCATGAGTAGGATAGTGTTCTTCATGTTGCTTAAGTTGCACGGGCGCGCATAGGCAATGATTCGACCTTCTTGCATCAACACACATCCAATACCAATACACGAAGCATCACAATAAACATCAAGCGGCTTCTCGATATCGAGGTTGAGCTAACTTTGGTGTAGTAGTCAATGACCTTTTTAAAAGTCTGGAAAGCCTCTTCACAATCGATGACCGAGACAAACTTGACTTGGTTCTTCAACAATTCAGTTATGGACTTTGACACTTTAGAGAAATCTGGAATAAACCGACGGTAATATCCGCCAATCCAAGAAAACTCCAAACTTGATGAAGCTGTGGTTGGCGGTTTCTAATCAAGCACATCCCTCACTTTGCGGGATCAATCTGCAACTCCTTGGTGACAAGACATGTCCAAGAAATTGCACTTCCTTAAGCCAAAAATCACACTCTTTGAACTTCGCATACAATTGATGTTCTCTCAAGCGAGTCGAGAACAATTACGAGGTGTTTACGCATGTTTTGTCTTATTCTTGGAATATACTAGTATATCATCTATAAATACTACTACAAACTTGTCTAGCTCGGGCATGAATCTTTGAGTTCATCGGATACATGAAATGAGTGAAGCATTGGTCAAACCAAAAGACATCACCAAGTATTCATATAATCCGTATCTCGTGGTAAATGCCGTTTTGGGAATATCTTGAGGGCTTTATCTTAATTTGGTGATACCA